TTGAGCTCAAACTTCCTGAAGGTTTTCAAATGATTTGAAAAGAATACTTGCCTAAGTTCCACATATGGTACACTCAAGTCACTCAATGGTGTCTGAAATCCTTACCAAGGCCATGAATTTTAGCCTAAATTTCTATCCTAAAGCTTATGTGGAGCTCAAGGTAGGTGGTAAAAGCATACCTTACTTGAATTGAATATATTGCTAAGTCAAACACTTGAATCACAAGGAGCAACAAATCATACAAATTGATCAAGATGTGCATATGTATGGTAAATTTGGTGGAAGTGGTACTCCTTTGAGAAGTTTCCCTTATATAGCTTCTTTTTGAGAGGGCATGGCTACGTTATTTTTCTCTCTTCTCTCTTTTTGAACACTAGAGCTTTTTGCTCTTTTATTCTCTCTCATTTTTTTCTGTAGCCCATGCCTCTCGTTATGACATAAGATAGCAGAGAGGTAACTTTGATTCTCATAGAGCAATAATGAATGGAAAGCATATGTGGTTGTGTATCCCCAGTGTAGGAATAGCATAGATAGGTGGGTGTACGTGATCTTGATCAAAAGCATAAAAAGTTTCTCTACTCAGATCAACAGGGCTTGAAAAAGCTCAAAACAAACAAACAACTTTTATGGTGGCTTTATCATATATGAATAGATGTTTATTTGGCTCTGGAAGGAATTTTTCACCATTGAGGAAGTTCTTGCAAGAGAGTTTAACATTTTGCAAAACAAAACTCTAGGTTGTTTTTACCATTCCTCAGACAGGTTCAAATATTTACTCTAATCATGACTACAGCATATCTCACTAAAGCCTATTCTTGGTTCTAGCATTTGCAACCCACAAAAGCATTCAACTTAAGATGAACTCTTAGTTTATCATGCCCAAAACTTAAGAAGTATAAGGTTGTATAATAAGCTTTTGCAAAGTATCACAGAGCAACTATTCATTATCTCCAAATAATTTTATCATCATGTTATTAGAGTAGAGTTTCTCTCAAGATAAATTTAAAGGCACTCCTCTCTACATTCTATGATCATGAATATTAAAATTTAAAGCAAACATGAATGTAAAGAGAGGGTTTAAGATTTTCATACCTGAGCGGGGAGAGATATCATCCCCACGCTTGCCTTTTGCATAGGTTAGAATGTCTTCTGGCAGCTCTTTTGATTCTTTTCTTTATTGACTAACTAATACTACTAGAATGCATAAATGACTAACTAACTAAACCTATAACTACTAGATAACTTATTCAACAGGGATACTACTGAATATCTTTTATTCATTATTATTAAATATTTTTTATATGTTGCCTTAAATGCAAATCTATCCTATCAGGCATTAGCTACTACAGACTTTATTTATTAACATAGAGTAGCTAAATGCAACTAACCTATTATGCAATGTAAAACAAATTTATTGGAAATCTAAATGAGATGCAACTAGTAAAATGCAGTAAATAAATGCAAGGGATGAAAACTTACCTTTTTGACAGGCCCAAGGTCATTCGTCCTTGGGCGGGGGTGTTTCCTCTTATTCCACCTCTGAGGCCTTGTCAGGATCAGGGGATGACGAGTTTGAGGATGGATCTTTATTTTTACATCATCTCTTTCTATTCTTCTTCTAGACAGGCTTCTCCAGTTCTTCAAGCGGCTTTGGTTTCTTTATCTTGATTCTCTTTGGATACTTCTTCTTTTCCTGTTTCTCATCAAAGAGGGGTTGTCCAGACGCAAAAGCAAATATTTCTTTTCTTCTAGCAAAGTGGAATTGGATTTGCCTAGAAGCCACATATATGCAAGCATTTGCAGTGTTAAGGAAGGGATGACCAAGGATTAAAGGTGTATCCTCAGCATTGCCCATGTCTAAGATCATAAAATCTATAGGAATATAGGCGCTCCTAACTTTAACTAATAAATCAGTGGCTACTCCCTCAAGATAACGGGTGGATTGATCGGTCAATTGTAAATAAACGGAGGTTGATGCTAGGGGAGTATAAAATAACTTATCATAAGTTTCCTTAGACACGATGTTAATACTAGACCCTAAATCACAAATGGAATTATGAAAAGTGTGGGGCCTATGGAGCAAGTAATGATGGAATCCTAGGATCACCTTTCTTAATAGGAAATTCCTAACCATTCTCAGAAAAGTCATACCTTGCCGTGATAAGGTTGGCTGCCTCCATGGTTCCCTCTGGTTTGCCAGGAATTCTATATTTTTCATAGGATGAAATAGCAGCAGCAATTTGAGCTAATTGGGTTTCTACCATCTTATTAAAACTAAGTTGATTCTTTAAGACAGAAGAAAATTCATCCAATTTAGCATTTATATTTTCCAACATCTTGTTATGAGCATGTAGTTTCTTATTAATACTGTTAGTCATTCTACCATTGCTATAAACAAGATCTTTCAGAAAAGTATAACTATTGTTACCTTGATTATTCAAACGAGAAGAAGAGTAATAATGGTTACCTCCCTAATTGTCGGAGCGCTGATTCCAGCCTTGATGTTGTGGACGAAACCTGTTGTCAGTGTTGACGAAGTTGAGGTCCTCTTGGGTTTCAAGGCAGGAATTGCCCGAATGTCCAATATCTCCACAGACTTCGCAAGTCATGTGAGAATCCATGGCTTTGAGTGTCTTTTGAGCACTCACATTCTCATAATGTTCTACTCACTTTGGGAGCAGATCCATCTTAGTTGCAAGCATGTCAATTTTTTAATTGAGTGCATACCTCGTTTACGGGGTTGGAATTGATCGTCGCTCCATCCTTAGTTGGAAACCATCTTTTCGATCAGCGTCTTAGCATCTGCAACATTTAGCGAAAAGAATGCTCCACCAGCAGCAACATTTAAATGGCTCCTATCAACGACACTAATCCATGGTAGAAGTTCTGGATCAAAGCCAGTCTTCCATGCCATGGTGCGAGCATGCAGAGATGTACTCTTGTATTCGTTCCCAAGCTTCGGGAATCGATTCATCTGCTAGTTATTAAAAACTAGAGATTTTATTATGCAGAGCATTAGTCTTCCCCATAGGGAAAAACTTGACTAGGAAAGCGTTGGAACACTTGTCCCAGGTATCTATAAAGTTGCGGTTAGAGTAAAACCATTGCTTAGCCTTTCCTAACAAACAGAAGCGGGAAAAGCGAAGACGTCTAGCCTCTTGGCTCACTCCCTTAATGGTGAAGGTGCTATAAATCTCCAAAAAGTGTTGGAGGTGAGCATTTGCATTTGCGTGGGCTTTCCCACAAAACGGACTAGCTTAAACCTTCGTAATTAACGTTGTCTTAAGCTTAAAGTTAGCGTCCTTATTGATAACATTGGGTCCGGTGGCTACATTAGCAGCCGAGGGTGCAGAAAAATCACGAATGGACTTGTCGCCCATAGTCGTGGAGGGTAGTGATAGGATTTGAGGAAAAAAGGATGAACTACTTAGGATAACTAAAAACAACCTAGCTAACAAATCTAGCGTTATAAATTCAAGGCCCATTGCCTTCCCCGGCAACGGTGCCAGAAATGCTTATTGATATTTCTTAACGACTTTTGGAGGATTCCATAAGCGCACAGAACTATCGCGTAGCACTTCGCTCGGTGAGTACCGAGTGTCGAATTTATATTTTTTCCACGGAAAGGCGGATGGCTAGAATTTATAATTGGACTAGAATTTGCTAAAGGAAGGCTAAAGTTGATCGTAGGTAGGTGAACGATAATGAATGATGATTGTAAACTACCTAAACTAACTACTAAATACAAGATAACATAGAGATAACTAGGTGGGAGAGCGAGTGATTTATCTTTCTAGTAACTAAGATAAACAAATGACTAGGAGAAATGCGATAGTACTTCGGGGCACAGCCCACCTACCAACTAAAAGAGTTAAATAGACAAGGTCTGCTACGAGTCCTAAGATTTAATAACTAGACCTATCGTGGTGGAATTCAGAAGATGGATAAGGCTATCACCACTTGCCACCTTCCACAATCTATCCGGAGGCCTACTCATATCCACAGGTAATCTATAGTCTAAGCACCACGCTTAATCTATAAACTTACTACTTCGATCCGAGCTCCGATGAAATGAGATCAAAGCATCCTAACCAAACGGTGGAACCGGTACTAACGAAAGACTACTAATTATATGATAACCTATGCTACTAATGCCAAACAACAAGCACCTAAGCCCACTAATGATGAACACTAATGACTAAGTACTTAAAGTAAAGCAAAACAATAATACTAAAATAAAAGAATTACAAAGGAGCTATACCAGACCCAGAAGACTCTTCCGGACTCCGAGAAGCTCCTACTCTTGCTCTACTCCACTATTAGACTACTACTCTATAGCTAATGCTAAGCTAGAAAGCTAAGATAAGCTTGTGAGCTTGGAATTGAATGGGGGCGTCCTTCCACCGAGCTCCACAGCCTCTATTTATAGTGTAGAGAGGCATGGGGGTATTTGTAGGCAGTGGCAAGATCGGTGGAGGACCTAGGGCGTCGGTCGTCCCTTGGATGCACCGCTTTTGCATCCAAGGGTGTTGGTTGCTCCTCAATAGCGGTTGTGAAGATAGCACGTGGTGAAACTTGGTCGATAAGTTGGTTGGTGAGGCTCCAAGTCTATGACAATGAGCCCATGGATCCATGACCTCTTCATCGTAACCATTGGTCAGAACCGACTTGAATCAACACTGGTATTGCTTCTAGAGGAGCTCCCGCGAATCGGCAAAGTGCCAAGGTGGCACCTTGGGGGGTCGGGCGACGCCTAGGTGGCACTGGGCTGCGCTGCCCAGTGGGCCCAAGTGGCCCTGCCACGTCTACTTGCTTTTTTTTTTGTCCATATTTATCACAATTTTAGCTAAATTTTATCATATTTTCTGTATATAAATAATTTTATACGCACAAATAGAATTAGGTGAATTATAAATAAAATTCTTCGTATGTGACGATGACTGACCTCATTTAGCCATATTTTTGGAAAACCCGCACGTGGCTCCGTGCTCGTCCTCCTCATGGAGCCCCGCGAGATCGCCGCCACCGCCGCCGCCGTCTTCGTCTACGGCCTCTCCCACGCCACCGCCAACGCCTGGCCGCTCCCCATGGGTTCTGAATTCTGCGACCAGGCCGACGCAGGCAGGGGCGACTTCCAGGGGTTCGTCCAGATCTCCACCACCAAGCTCTACCCCCGTCGGAGCCCGTCTTCCCCAAGCGGTTCTCCGCCTGCGTCGCGTTCGTGCCTTCTGTGACCGCGACGCCGAAGGAGTGCGCGCCTCTCAATTTCGCGGATCCCCATCGGCGCCGAAGGACTGAGCTCCAGCGGCCGCGTCTCCTTCCGCTCCACCTTCCACCACGACGACTTTCGGCTCAAGCTCTCCGTCTCCGAGGCCCCCGCGCTCCTCCTCGCCTACACCGTCGCCGCGCACACTGAGGTGCATCGCCTCCTCCTCAACCTGTACCAGGTCATGGCGCCCGCCAAGGAGCTGCGACTGTCGCCGTCGTCGGCGTTCCTCCCCAAGCTCCGCGGGGGAACCTGCAGTACCGCGCACCCGGATCCCCCAGACGCCACCGTGCGCCGCGCCATCCATGTCCGCGACGACGTGCTGCTAGCTGTCTCGGAGGCGCTGGCAGAGAAGGCCACCAAGGAGCACTTCGCCAAGGCCTACGAGCTTGTCCTCGCCAGTCTGCTACCCCGTCCCGACGTCTTCGTCAAGGATGCTGAGAGCTGCATGTACATGCCCACCAAGTGTTCGATGTATTGCTGCAGTGGTTTCACTTCCATGTTGACCACAGCAATGAGCAGTTCTACCCCAACCTGGATGTCCGCCAAGGTCGACAACAGCTTTGAGCGCAGGGTGTCAGCATCTACAGCTGCGAGTACTCTTGGAAAGCTTGACCAAATGCTGAAGAGGTACATCACTGACTTTAGGCTGCATACTTGGTGTTGTTATTTTCTACTCGACATCCGAGACACATGGAGTTCAGAGGGTGTTTGGGAAATTTATCAGTCAGTGCCCGGCTCCAGTGGTTCTCAAAGCACCATGGTCGCCATTTATGTTGTTTGAGATCAAGGGTGATGCAGTCCATCTCAGGCCAATCCCTTGGCCATTTTTCTGTGGTTATGCAGCCCCTGTGCACTTGGAGACATCACTGTCAGTGAATACTATGCTTGCGGACTCCACACAGCTCTGTTTTGGTTTATGGTTGCCGTTCTTTCTGGGTTGGTTTGCTGTGCAGAGTAGCAGAAGCATGGTGCAAATCATTGTGTGGCCAATCCTTATGCATGAAATTTCAGCTGCTAATATGGAACATTTTCTGGTTTCAGTTTAGAATAAGGGCAAATTGTTGAATCCTGCTGCAGTTTTTCACAAGCCGTTAAGTGGCCTTTATGTGGTACTAAATATCAGAGAGCTATGTGATCAAGTGTTGGCCCTTTCTGAGTACAAAGCCGAGCTGTATGCGTATTTAAGAAGCAGGATGAACACTATCGCGCCAAATCTGACAGCACTGGTGGGAGAATTAGTTGGTGCTTGCTTTCTTGCGCATGGTAGAAGTTTGCTAAACCTGGCCAAGGCAATAGATATTCACCTTCTTGACCAAGTGATTTTCCTTGAGACTGTCAGTGTAGACATGAATGATACAGTGTTACTGAACATTTTCAGTAGGCCGATCAGCTTTTCTGTCTTGCTGCAACAGCTCAAGTCTAGAGCCCAAGTTACTACACCGATCAAGTCCAGAGCCCACGTCACTGCGGCTGCTCTCATTGTAGCGTCTGACTATTTGCTGCTACTGTCCGTTGCAATTCCTCACCCTGGATACAAGTTTTCAGTTGAAATGATAACATACAAGCTGTGTTTTCCCTTGAAGCCACCATGGCAGCTACCTGCATTAGTCGGATTCATCGATGATGGCCTTCATGATGTGGTTGATGATCATGTCGATAAGGACCATGAGCATGAAGCAGAAGACGCTATCCCTACTGAACCAACTGCGAAGAATGTTGCAGCTCCACCTTCACTACCCAGAGATAATGGCAGACAACTTTCCAAGAAGGTACTGAAGACACAGATGATCTTCCAGTTTCTTTGGGATCCCGGTGGTTTCGATCTTCTCCATCGGCTTGGGGGCAAGCCGAAGCTTAAGAAGGAGGGAATGTTAGGGATCACTACCTGGTGGGCCCAAGGCAACCTAAGCCAGGCAGTCACGCCTTTGGATACAGAAGGGGCAGGTTGAGGCCAGAGGGCAGGATCGAACAAATTATCAGATTACCTTTTACCCTTACTAGTTACTTTTCTTCTTCCTCAAGCCTCTTCCTCTCTATCCCTTGCTGATTTCAGACCTCCCTCTCTCTGAGGTCTTGTATCCCTGCTACTTGATTCGAGTTATCGGTTAGTAATCCGGTTGGGTTGCTAACACCAAAACTCTGAAGTTTCGCGCCCTCCTCCTCTCGCCATAGGGCCTGTAAACCTTGTCGGCCTGACGCTCGACATAATTAACAGACATAACTTCGTTCAGAAGATGACCAAGATCATTAGGTTGTGCTTACCTGAGTTTTCAATGTTGAAAGACGAACAAATTTGTAGTGGTGATGCTTTCGTTTTGACCTCAAGGTGGCAAACCAGCCGTGACGTTGTTGAGGAATGGATAGCGGTCCAGCGAAAGCCTCTATATGCAGTTATTATCGCTTCAAGAACATAGTGGACATGGACAGCTAGCCCATTCGCCCTGGCATCTTTGACATCAAAATCTGTACAAACTTGGTGATAAAACCAAACATCCGCCCATCGAAGCCACTTGTTCCGATAGGACAAAATGATCCTGACAGTGCCGCGGGTCTTCATCGAAACGAAGTTGTACGAACCAAACTCAGCGAATACCTCTTCACCTGTATCCGAGTCCCTAACCTTTTTCCTATGGAGCTGGGTCTTGTAAAAGAGAACAAAAGTATCCGCCAATAACTCATAGCCAAGCATTTTCATCGCCATGTCGAAAACACCAAGTTGTGTGAAGGCATTAGGAGTCAATTGATGTGTCTAAACATCAAATCGTTCCAGCACCTCGACGACGAAAGGCTCCAACAGAAATTGCAGCCCGGCAAAAAAGAAGTCCCTAAAAACAACTACATCATATGGTTTGGGCTGTGGAACCTCTTCATCCCCAGGAGCAAAAAAATGCGTCGAAAACTCTGGTTTCTGCCCAATCGGCGTCGGCGTAGTATTTACTGACTCAGTACTAGATGCCTCGCTGAACGTCTCTGAATCTCCAGAAGATGATGAGGAACTGCCATTGACTTCAACAGACTTCGAACTACGAGCATGTTGTTCATTTCGCTTCTCAGAACTCGATCTGCTTTCGCTTGTAGAACCAGTGGCCGAAGACGATTCTACTGCCGACGTCATCTAAGCACGTGGTGAAATCACAAATACAACAAAGACAAACAACCAGCGTGAAATAAGACTTAAGGAAACATGAAGCGAAATCTTACCTCTGAAGCAAGAAAGCAGCAGCGCCACGAAGTGAAGTCTCAGCGGCGAGACGTGAAACTTGACTAGAGAAAGCAGTATGAAAGAGCACCAGCTCGCAAATGGCCAAGGGGTGAGCCCGAGTCCCCACCCCGGTGGCCTATTTATACAATCCCAGCAAAAGGCCAAACGCCGTGGGCACAAAGCCCCATAAGGCACGCAAAACGAGATAGCCGGACACTTTGCCAAGGAGCGAATGGGGGTGCGCCCTGGATGGCAAAGGGCTGATTGACATTGTATGGGCCTTATGGCCATCGTCGCCTCTTAATGGTAATAATCGTCTTTTCGCTTCTGTGTTTACCGTGATTGCAGGTTCCCAGCTGTACCTTTGTCCTGCCGAAGCTAAGAGGTTGCGGAAGAGTGCGAAATGACCAGAGGCCGGTGGGAATCGAAAGCTCCGGTTTGCAAAGGGCAAGGCAGAATTGGGGGAAAGTGGTCCCCCTCTCATCTCCTGAGTCGGACAACCGTGCAGGTGCCGCTTGGGGTAGGTGGCAACCGGGGGAGGCTGGTATCACTTGGACCGGAATGGTCATGGAATGTCGGAATATGCCGTTGGTGCAGGGCAGGTAGAGGGATATTTAGGTCCCAAGAAAAGTTACGGATGTGTATAAAGAGTTCCAAGGGGACGTGTAAAGGGAGAGAAAATAATAAAATTAACAATATGGTGATCTACTTCGCCCTTATATACCTTTGCATTCACCTCACCATTCTCACTACGCATGCATCCCACGGCTTGGCAACACCTATCGTTTGAAGGCTAAGGCCTAAAACAACAAAGATGATACTCACTATGGGACATCTAAGGGTAGTTTGCATGTCTGCTCCTGGTGAGCTAACTATCATGGAGTTTTCATAGCACACATGGGTATATTATGCTTCTTGACAAATGAATAAGCAATAAACGACTGTGATGCACCCAAGTCAAATAAAACTAGAGCGGGACTTCAATTAACTGAAAACAAATACCAAGCATCACATCCGGTGCTTCCTGTGTAGCCTCAGCAGTCACATGATTCACCCTGCCTTGGACGTAGTTTTGCTGCCCTTATTGCCTTGAGCATTCTGTGCCAGCTTCTTGTTGACAAGGCTTTGGTTATTGAGAACAAGTGTGGAGAAATGGATTAGAAAAAGAGGAAGTTCTAGGGGCAGCAGTCTGGAAGGAACACTCAACAGGCATATCCACAGCGACACATGTGCCATCCGGCCTAGTTTGGAATTTGGCCCATGTGGCCCATGTGCATTTTAATGATATATTGTGGAGGGTTTAGTCCCACCTTGGTTCATTAGGGTGGGTTATACCAACATATAAGGCTTCTAGAGTTTATCATACCAACCCCGGGTTAGCCTTTTTACGCGAAGCGAGGATGAAAGCGTAAGTGGGTTGGTGGTAGGTGTGGTTCATTCAGCATGTAGAGTGGATCTGAGCCATTTGGACTTTGGGGTGTTACAAATGCTATTAGATATCATATCCGACCTTCGTGGCCATGGGCGCGTGCAGGTCATGGGCGCGGACATGGGGCTCATTGCGCGTGTAGGCCTTGCAGGGTGCACGGCATGGCACATGTGCCCGCACTAGACCCATTGGGTACGCTCGCGCGCACCCTCAAACTAAGGAACTTTCCTTAGCCCGAGCACGCCAGGGCCTCTACTCAGAGCTCGAGGGCTAGCCCAAGCCTCAGGCTCTCGATCAACGGGAAGCTCGAGTCTGACCCTCGGCTCCTGCCCGGCATACGATGCCAGCCAAGGCCTAGGCACAAGAAGACACGCTCCAAGCCATCGAGGCTCGGGGGCTCCTCGATGCAGCACCTCAGGCGCGTCCTTGCTGGCCGCTCCCTCGATTGGGTCACGCACGGGGCATGACACAAGAAGAAAAGTTCCCCCTTAGCCTCCATGGGTTCGGGGGATCTTGGGCCCACGCATCAACCCCTGAAGTCGACCTCCTTCACCACCAAGAAGACTCCAGAACGTCCACCTAGGGCAGGCCAGTCCAAGCCAACATAGCCTGACACGCAGAGTGTCAGAACAGAGAAGACAGATGACGCCTAGGGCTTCTTTGGCTCCATGACATCGCCATGGTCCACAGAGCGCCGCTGTAAGACCCTTCTAGACTTCAGCTCATGTAGACCTTAGGCTCAACCCCCCAAACCGCCATGTACCCAACCTATCTCGATATATAAGGGGTAAGGTCAGGATCCTAGAGGGGGGAGGACGATCCTAGACAGATCATTCCATTCCTCATCCATCAGTTCCTGCTCAGCACCGAGAGCAGAGCAACCCAAAGAGGGGCACCGAGAGCTCCTCCACCACACTTGTCGTCTTCCTCCTCTCCGATGAGGAGAAGACTCCACCGGCGGCGAGGCAACCTCATGATTAGCACTGAGCTAACCCCCTACCAAATCTCCTCCTTCCGCCTATACACTTTGTTGTAACCCCCAATTTTGGGTGCTCTTGAGTATAAGGATCATCAGCTGCTGGACGTAGGGCATCGGTCGGCCTAAACCAAGATAAACAGTTGTGTCCTCTATGTGATTCTTGTGTTCTTTAGTCCACCCGGGCCACCGGAGACACGTACTCTGACACCAACTCGAACAATAATGCTTGTTGTGGTTTTGACCCTGCGATAGCTGGCGTGCTAGGTGGGGGCCGCATCAAGTGTGATTCAGGCTCTACGGTGGCCAGAGCCACGCGCCTCATCGCTGGAGCAAGCAGCACCGCCCCAGACAGCGGTGTCCCCTTCCCTAGTTTGTTCTTCATCACAGCCAGCGCCTACGCTCTAGGCCAGGTCCTCAACTTAGGGATCCTAGCCTACGACGCCGACTGCTACGAAGAGCTTCGTCCACTCAATGTGGCTGCGCTGGCGGGCAACGAGCTCCCGACGCAGCCTCCACCGCCGGGCCTCCTGGGAGCAGATCTTGAGGTCCTAGCCTAGTAGATCTGGCACGGTCTGGGTACGCACCCTACCATGTCATATCATCGCTAAATGTTCTACATGCTGGCCAACGTCCACCGCCAGATCACCATCGGTGAGGTGCTCCCACCGCCCGACCGCTTCTGGTACTACCTCCCGAACCTGCCTTTCGAGATCAAGAATGTGGCGGCGTCCTTCTAGCTAGAGCTAGAGCACCTCGTCAGCCATGAGGTGCCATGGAGTGCCATCCTCTCTGGTGCCACGAGGGCTGACGTCCCCTCGCTGTGCACCTTCCTCGAAATCCTCTCGGGGAACAACCCAGAATACGGCTCCGACGACATCGACTGCCACGCTCCGCCATGCATGTGCTACCAAATCGACGATGAGGTTCCCGCTGTGGAGGCGCCTGAGCTCACGCCGTGGACCAGAGTCCCCGCAGCCGCACGAACTACCTTCGGGAGAAGGCCACTAGCTTGCAGGCTCTACAAGCGGACCTGGAGGCCACCGAGGCAGAGCTCGAGTGCCAAAGGCTCTACAAAATACTCGTGGCTCACCAACTCACTCGACTCATGTCCGGCTCGGCTCGGCTTGGCTCGTTTTAACTTTTTTCACAAGATGAGCTAGAAGTCTAGCTCACTGTTTTAACGAGCCAGCTCTCGCGAGCTGCTCACGAGCTCAAACGAGCTGAGGCCTATCAGCCCACGACCATGAATCCAGAAGATGATGATGCTGACCTAGAAGTATACACCTATTCCATTGATATATAATCCTTATTTTTAGCTGTTTCATATGAATTTTGATTTTATAATTGTTGTGGTACTCAAATATTGATTTATGGATTATTTTTTAGGGAGAAGATGATGATGCTGACATTGAATTTGTGGACTTTTCTAAGTCTGTGGTGGCAATCAACTAGTAAGTATGCTGGAACTGTATGGATCATGGATGGACTAGCTATGTTACATGGTAGATACTTTTGATGAACATGATATGTATTAATCATGTATGGTTGCATAATTGTGGACGTCACCTTCTTAAATTATTGTGGCATGAACATTATAAACATGTGTGTGTCCTATTTTTTTAGTAGCTCACGTGCTAAACGAGCCAGCTCGAGCTCGCTAACGAGCCGAGCTAAGCTGCCCCTCTAGCTCGTAATATTAACGAGCCGAGCCAAGCTGGCTCGTTAGCCTAATGAGCCAACTCGAGCTGGACCAAGCCGAGTCGAGCTGGCTCGATATCTAGCCTTACTTCCAGCAACGCGACGATGCCCACACGGGGGCTCCCAGCACCCTTTGCTTCCCCCGAGCGGCCTACAACATGGCGGCCACCGCCTGCCATCTGGAGACACCGGAGCCAAAGACCAATGAGCGACTGCAAGAGACAAGGTGACTTCTTCACATCGCCCTCAAGCAGCATGCCGAGAGGTCTGCTTCTCGACATTGTGCCAAGCCGTCTCAGTCGACGACCACCGCTAATGGGGATCGCTCTAACGCTCACTCCATGCCGATAGGCGGGAGCAGTGGTGACTCCTCTGGCAGCAGCTCCGACTACCCACAGACCAGTGGTGCCAAGCCTCGGTAGGAGCGAAGGCGTGAGCTTTCGCCATGGCGGCCTCCCATGCACCACCGAGTCGGCGGCGGCTGTGACATCCATGACACCATCGAGGCCAGGCACCACACACAGGCGCAGTCCCACACTCTAGAGCAGGGAGCAGGAGGCGCCGCCCTAGATCACTTTTGCCCCTAGGCATTCGGGGCGGTGATTCGGGTGGCCCCCTACCCCAGGCGGTTTCGGCCGCCGACGCACATCTCCAAGTATAACGGTGAGACCAACCCAGACCATTGGCTTGAGGACTACCACCTCGCCATGAAGGCCGGGGGGTCAGATGATGACTTGGCCATCCAGTACCTTCCTCTGATTCTGTCGAGCTCGACCAGAGCTTGGCTCGAGCAGATTGAGCCCGATAGCATCCGCTGCTAGGGCGACCTCCATTCCGTCTTGATTGGTCACTTCCAGGGTACGTACACTCGACCTGGGACTTATGGGACCTCCGTAACTATAGGTAGGGGGCTGACGAGACCCTCCGGGAGTACATCCAATCCTTCTCCAAGAAGCACAACGAGCTCCCCAACATCACCGACGCCGATGTGATTAATGCCTTCATCTCGGGGGCATGACCTACAAAGCACTCATCCACGCGCTCGGCCATGAGACCCCATGCACGATGTGGGAGCTCCTGGATGTCGCCGCCCAGTACGCCACCAGCGAGGAGGCCGTCCAGACCAACTTTAGTGACAAGGCCAAGACCGCTGGCCACCTTAGGGGTAGAGATGGTAGCAATGATCCTGCCTCGTCCCAGCATCACCGCGACAAGAGGAATAGGGATCAGAAGCACCACGGGGAGAAGATGGTGGCCACAGCTGACCGCGCCACCATGCCTCAGCCTCATGGGCATGCTGCGCTCCTCGAGCACTTCGAGAAGACCTTTGAAGCCCCCTGCCCATTCCATGGAGGTGTTGGTATTTCTTACCATCTGCAGAAGTTAATCCTCAAGCGTACGAAATTATTGTTGTAGCTTTCACCCAAAAGTATTTAGGGTATCATATTTTCACAGGGAACAGAGGTATTTCTTCTAGCTAACTCGTCCAAGGACAACATA